AAGGGACTGTTTAAAAATCCGGAATACACTCTAACGTTCTTTCTTTCAGCAATCTAAACAACGTTCGTTAAGCTCCTATACTTCATGAACAAACAGCCTAATCACAAACTAGAACCTAGTACATTAGATTTATTTACTTTAACATGTCATTAGGCGTATTTATGATGCAAAACATGTAATAACATCACTTTGATCTTTAAGAAATGTTATATCTGATGGACAATTTATGACATCAACTAAAACACCAATTTATTAAGATTTAAATATTGTTTATATTCTTATTAAGAAAACAAAAGCATTTATCATATACTTGTTATTAATTGTGAAAAATATCAATTTAGAACAATAATTTGTTTAATTAATTTATTGACTATATTTTTTTTCAATATTATCCATTTTATAATTATGAATTTTATAGTACGTATCTAATATTTAAATGAAAATTATTATTAATTTTTAATGAAGGAAATTCATGGTGCTTTTGATGTGAAAGAGAAAACACGTAACTTATGATGTAATGTTCGGAAGTTGGATTTAATTAATTAAAGAAAACTGATGCTGGTGGTTACGGGCGGACCAAAACTAATGTAATTTCTTTCTCAACAAAAAAAATATAAGAATATCAATTAAAGGAAATAATTAGAATAAATTAAAGGAAATTTAAATATATCCCAAATGAAATCAAAATGGAAATTAATGCTCGGAACGAAAGAAGAGAAGGTGTTAGAATTAAAAATTTAATGAAAGCTTATGATGTGTAACAGATTGTAGTCATATCTTAGCGACATTATGAAAATATTTTTTTTTAACTGTTGTTAATTTTATTTTATTTGAAATTTTAGAAATTATTTAGAATTTGTAATGTTTATTAGATAATTTAGAATTATTATAATTTGTTTTTAAACTGGAAAGAATTAATTGACAATAAAATAAATTGAAATTTTTTTAAATGATTTAAATTATGTTATTTTAAATCAAATTTATTAAAAATAATTGTCAATAATCAATTATGGAAATAATTAAGAAAAATACTTTTTTTTCAATTTTTTGTCATTTCTTTTTTCAAATTAAGATCAATACAAATATGTAAATAATCGTATTTTTTAATAATGAATAAAAAAAATAAATATGAAATTTACTTAATGAAAGAAAAATATTGTTTTAAAATTATGGTAGTAGAAGTTTTGAGAATTGGATGTTTCAATAGAAAATCAACTTGTAAACCGATACTATTGACTTCCGAGGAAGTCACCTTTATAAATCCATTAACAAACATCCTTTCCATTCGAACAATATTTATATAAATATAAAGTGTTTTCGTTTCTGCATCTTTTCTTTCTTTTCTTTTTTCGTTTTCCGTTAATCACCATTGCTAGTAGATATTTTGGCAATGCGTCTAGCGTCCTTATGTCATAACTCAGGCACTTCCGCGTGAGGAAGCCACATGTCCTGACATCTGGCACGTTCCTGTCTCGTCCCGCTCTTTATTGGTAAGTGTTAATGTAAACCTCCCACTCTCAAGAGCCGAAGGATAATAAAACCACCCCCGGAATGTAGTCCAACCACCGGAGGAATAAACAGAAAAGGGTTTCACTTAATTAGTAACCGGACGATAATTGTAATCTAAACATTGCGGTCGATGCAACGGAATGGATGGAGCAATCACTTTATTGATTGCCTTCCAACTTTACGTGCGGCGTGAGGATCTGCTATCCCGCGCGCCAAGATAACATTATTAATTTACTACCGAATTTTAGATTTCCAAATAAAAGCTTTTAGTTAGTTCAGTTAGGTAAGAAGGTAAGGGGTTTTATTCTCACCGTGAACTCGATTCTCGCCATCCCGTAAAGATAAAAGCATCATTATCGTCCGGTGTTTTATTGTTATTGGGTTTCATGGGAACAAAACGAAGAAAAAAAATACAAGAAGAAGAACTGAACAAATTGATGATGAGATGTTTCGTTTGTTTCCTCCGGGATGCAGGAAATTCGTTTGCATGTGGCGTCGTTCGCCACTTGTGGCGCATAAATCTGATAGGGACGGATCGCATATGGCGTTTCGGGCAACATGTTGCGTAATCTTCGAGAAGACTCCCTCCCGTAACACAAGTGGTATTTATAGTGAGTGGAAATGGAAATGGCTCGTGCATTCTTTACTTAGATTCCTCAAGAAATTTTGCCACATATGGAAGGCATTCGGTGGGTATTCTTCATCTTAGAAGAATTAAATTTTTTGGAGTTGTTGTTTGCGCTTTCGCCGCGTTTCCTGTTTGGGAAAAAATATATATTGAATGTCTTGTGTAATACGCATACCCTGATCAAATAGAGGGAACGCCATGGGGACACGACCGTTTTGTCAACCGAGGTAAATAATAATTAAAGAACCCCGCAAATATTTACTTCCTAAATCTTTTTTTTTTCCTTCTCTTCCTTGTACAAGCTTTGTCCTGGCTACCGAAACTCCTTTTTGTTCCCACATTTGTTTGCATTAGCAACGCTTCCCTTTTCCCTCTATCGTTCTTCCTCTCATACGCACAGACAAGATCATCTTCTTTCAATGATTTAAAGTTGCGCTCCATTTTTTTTTGTTTCGTAGATTGCTTTTGAGTAATGGTTTCGGCGGATCGAAATAAATTTTAATTATAAATGATTTACGGCCCTTCGCACATTCGCGATGCACAAAGGCCAAAATATATTTTTGTACCTCGAGCAACCCCTTCAAGGACCATTCAGTGAACCCTGCAAGGCGTGCAAATCAATCGAACGATCGATGAATGATCGAAGCTCGCAGGTAGCGACTTTCCGTCTTCGAATTCAATCCGACAACCCTCCGATTTTTTCGGCAAAGTCTAACGGTCATTTGGTAAAAATCTCGTAACGGAAACTGGTCCCGTGCAGACGAGACGCGTGTCAACGTTTTCAGGTTGGCTAAGGTTCTGTGTGCATGTGCGTCTCTTTCTCTCTCTCTATGTGTGGATGTGTATGTGTATACGCCATTCATTGTATTGATTAAAAACACGTTCCTTTCTTCCGGAGTTGCCTTTGCAAGTGTTCTCCTCATTCAAGTGCAAAGAATGGCCGTGGCTCGCGTCTTAAGATCGTCTGGTCTCAAGAATACGAAACATAAAGGAACCTAGTTAGCTTGAATAACCTTTGCGTACGCATTCATCCCGTACCTACCTATTAAGGTCATTCGAGAGTTCAATGTCAGTCGGAAACGCAAAGTACCACAAATAAAGGACGGAGCCGAACGAGCAGAAGAAGAGGAAAAAAAGAAATTAACGAAATAAACGCATCTTCCGAAAACTAGTTTCCTTCCCACCGTTCATTTTGATCATAGTTCACCTTTTTAGTACCCTCCGATTGATAAATAGAGTTTAATCGAAAACTAGTTTTCGTGAAACAGCGAAATAGGTCAGGGATGCGTCTGGAAATGAGCGACGCAACCGTAAAACTGGATTCGCCTTAAAGGAACTCGTTATTCTTTTTTTTTCTTCATATAATTTCATGAAAGGATTAATGAATTAATTGCGTCCCGCTGTGGGAAATGTGGAAAAACTACTTAACGTACTTTTTAATGGTTACACTGGAATAACGAAGGACAGACGGATTACGTATTCTTCAACCCCCTTTTCGAACGCGTTTCTGTTCACATAAAAATCGGTTTTTGTAGCACCTTTTTCATTATTCAATTATAATTTGAATGATAATGTGATTCGTAGTTGGAATCTAACAAAGTTTCTTTTCTAATAACCATCTCTTTTGTTAAACTTTGTACAAATTTAAATGGTCATTTATTAAAACTCCGAATTTATTCAAATAAAATGGTAATAATTGTTGGATCCAACTGTAATCGTATTGAAAGCGGTGAATTCAATTTATCACAACTGGATTTAGCCGTTAAAGCATCTTTTAATACAAATTATGCACAATACTGGATTCTGTAATAGATTTGAAACTTGCACATAATAACTCATTTTATTATTAATATATTAAGTTAGGGGAAACTTCTATGACTATAACAATGATTATTTTTCTTTTCAAATTGCATTTCGTAAATATGTTTTTCTTTACGCAACGAACTTTACTTTCAATCATTTACGTTTTAGATTTGCGTTGCACAATTAACCTATTTTGTATTACGAATCTGAAATGAGCAAACAGGTCTAAGTTCAACTGCTATTGTGAAATCCAATAATACTCGCACTTTTTAACTGATATGACTTAACACTTTATAATTCTAGTCGCACATCGTCATACTAATAATCAACTTATTATTATTGTTTGTCTATTAACTACATTATTGAAATTATACTTATATAAGTTTATTATATAAACAATTTGTCACAAATTTAACTGTAGTTGCACTAAGCACATTATTAAGTTAATCAATATTAATTGTTAACTTAATTATTTTAACCTAACTTAAAAATAATAATAAATTATACTTTTACATTTATATATTTTATTTTATTAATTTCATCTGTAATTTGAGGTACATATTTGAAATTAATTATCTAGCATAAAAATTTCTGTAGGTTCTTCAATTATTAATGGTTAAAAATGTAATTCTTTTGAATATGCATATGAAATAATCATGTACTTTTAATTATTTTTATTTTATGGGTTATTTTATTATTATTTGGAATTATATTACACTTTTTATAGCTAAATATTTTGTCTAAATCACAAATTTAATTGCACTTTTCCACATCTGTGATTAAATTTTATATCTATTAAAATAAACATTTAGTATACTCATTTATAATGGTTTCCGATTTTAATTATTAAAAAAAATATAAATTTGTTAACACTTTATATCATTATATTGTAATCACTAGTTTTGTTTCAATTTAATTTGCACTTCTTTTAGTTAGTTTCGAACGATAATACCGACTACAATACTTGATGGTTTTCTGTACTTAAGATACGTCTTTTGGATTGATTTTTAATATAATTTGTGTTGATGTTATGATATACTTACATTGGTTATGTGCAGAGCTAACTCCTGACTTCTTGTTGATCCCACCATGCCATGACTTGGATCATGTTCTCCTTGGTGTCGACGGGCATTTCGGTGTCGTTCTGCAGGGAGAGGACGGGCGGTTCGGTCTTGATGATCGGACCGGCGGGGCTGATCCTCATCATCTTGACGTCTTCGTTTGTCGTCGCATTGAAGACAACAGGAATGAACATTTGTCGGTCGGCTGCGGACCGCTCGATGGAAATAGGTGAAAGTGAGTTATCGCTGTACATTTCTGGCGATAACGAGCCCGTCGTGGTATGCATCGTGTTCAGCAGCGATAAGTCTTGATTGCCCAACTCGATGTCGGTGTCCATTAGGGACGGATCTGACAGGAGATTGTCGTCGAGCGGCTCCAGATTCTCGCTGTCATCATAGAAGTTCAGCTCGTGGTAGCGCTGCTGATGATGATGGTACTGGGTCGGGGGAGGCGTGGGGTTGTTGGAGAAGTCATCCTCGTCGTTGCTAGGCGACATGAGTTGATAATTGTAGGTGAGATTTGCGGTGGTCAGAGCTGGTGAGGAAGGTGTGGATGAGTTGTAGGACGATCCCAGCGAGGTATTCCCGGGATTCTCAGGATCGGCTAAGATATCTTCGAGGCTTCGGATATACTCCACTGCCATCCTCAGAGTTTCAACTTTACTCAACTTCTTGTTACCACCACGACCATTATTAGATTCGAAGGCTGCGGCTATAGAGTTAGGGATGTGTTGCCTGAGAGTGGCGTATCCGTTGTTCACCTGCTTAACGCGATTTCTTTCTCTCGCGTTTCTCCTCGCCACGGCTATTGGCGGCGGATTCTGCGCTACCTCCTTGTGACCGACGCGCGACTTCTTCCGTCCCAACAAATCCTCTTTGCCCTGCGGCAGAACTTGCTGCTGTTTCCGCAGGATAATTATCTCACGCTGCGTGTTCTGCGTCTGCTGCAGGATCTTCTGCGGAGAGCTTTGGTATTGCACGACACTGATTGTAGTAGACATGATGTTTTCAATTGATTATCCGATTACTTCCTCAACCTTAAGCATCCAAGAGTAACAACAAAACTGATAACGGTATTCACTCGCACAGAGAGTTGGCGCGATTATTCTCCTCTTATTATGTCGCGTGCGGCCAGGACATAAAACGAACTACCAATTTTCAAACGTAACTTTTGCACACACGGCACGAGACCAGTACAAATAAACCCCTCCCATAGAGGGGGTAGCTTTTGAATATATCCACGTATGTGTGGAACAGCTGTTCCAGCTTGCACAAGGGGGGACCCTTTAGACAAACACGGTCAGGGGGAATATATTTATTAATCGGGAACATAGCGGTACATGCCCCATATCCATCTCACTCTCTCCCTCTTGCAAACGCCTTCATTTCCAATCTCTTCCTCTCCTTCTTTTTTTTTCTTTGGGTTAATCCCAAATCCAATTCGCACATGCGCGACCACCACTACATCAAATCTCCTAAAGGGTTGAGTTTTAATTGTCCCCCTTTTGCATTGAATCTAATAGCGCATTCGCTCCTACAAAACCTCCAATAAAAATCATCGTCCCCTTTTTTACACCGCTTTACAACTAGTTGCTATAATATGTTAATAAAAAAAGGCGCAACAGCATAAATCGCACTTTTATTAAGACAAGGACCTCAATTTCGTATGCAACAGCCATTATTTCAAGAGGGGTCAAACTCATTGCATTTAATACTTACGTCTGACTTTCAAACCAGCTTAACAATGCAAAATACGCATTTAAAAAACTTACACTGTAAATTCAAATCAATGTTTATAACTTTACACCAAAAAAATGTATAAGTTATAGATTTTAAATTATTTAAAGATGACAAAAGTCTCATATTTTAATCATACTACTAATTAAAACAAATGCTTTGTGCAATTACAAAAATAAATTTAATCTAAAGTTTTCGGTAAATCTAATAAAAATTATGCTTAAAATTCAAATAAATATTTATATAATATATGAAGTACGTTTGTTCACTATAAGAAAAAATTTGCGTAATTTATTTTCGAATAAAAACATATCTTGTTTAAGATTTTTCCGAAATCTAATCTGCGGTTAATGGTCCAATGTGATAAAAAAATACAAATGGGAAAAGCACGTAAATAATTTGTCTCCAGTTACACAGGAGATACGGTAAACAAATTTCTTCCATTAAGAAAGTGTTCCAAGAAAACTCTATCTTTCTTGTTGATTAAAACTCTTGTAAGTCTAATTAGAAATTTCACACTTATCTCATTTAATTAGTAACTTTTAATCACTTCATTTTATTTTCTTACAAATTTACTTTAAATTAAATACTTTTTATTTTTCATGCAATAAACTTACGAACTGTTTGAATTTTATACATTTTTTATAATTAGTAAGTTTTAAGTACTAGATGTAATTATAAGTAAATATTTTTATAAATTTCGATCGATTTTATAGTTTTGAATTAAATTTTAAGTTAGCAATTTTGTTATATTAAAGTTAATTTTAGTGAGAACTTTTTTTCTCTTGTATTGTTATGATATAGAAAGTGTCGCATATCGACACATGCTTCTAATAACTTTCTTTATTTCTGAAGGAAAAAAATATCTGAATAATAACAAGTCTGTATAGGAATGCAAAACACAATGTTCCAATAGGCCACATGTCGACGGTGGTTGGTATAGCCATGCAATTATAGCACATGTGGTTCGACGTTCTATTTTTATGTGGAGTCGAGTTGAAAGTGCATTTGATCCGACATTTGGCATCCACGGTGTAGGCGAGCGCCTTCTTCCTTCAATCAACAGGATATTTCCTTAGCGAAACCACCGACCCATATGGTACTCAGTCTCCGGAACATCGACCCAAAACAAACCTTGCCCTTGATATATCCCTACGTGCAACGGCAGTGGTTGTCTGGGCCGTTGCATCACGACCCGCTAGCCCAATTCCTTTAGTTAATACGTGGAGGGAAGGAGAGCAGAGCTTGCTTTCACCCTCCGTGACATGTGTTTCTACCAATTTCCGAAATTTTTGCTCCTCCATAAATTTCCACCAAAATGTAGACACAACATCTAGAGTAAATTAATTTAATTGGTTACGGAACTCCAAAGGAAGCAGAAAAAAAATAAAGTTTTCAAAACTCATCAATTATGAGCGTAGATTATCTAAAAACGTGTACGTAAATGGGTATAATTCGAAACTCTGCACTGATGTAGATTTACGCAGCATCCAGTAATACAACCCTGATTTAAGTGCGTTTCTCTTTATTGGAATTGGGCAGATATTAAATAAAATGAAACTTGATAGACTCGACATATGGTTGGGGAAGGCCTCACGTGCGAAAAAGCCATGTGGGAAAAATTGCATTGTAATCCGCAATATATTTGGAAAAGAGATTTATAAATGATAAAATAATTTACAATTGGAATATTATGATTACATTTGTTAATATTTATTGCAATAATTCTATAAAATATAAGAAAAATTCTAATTATTTATGAAAAATGCTTATTGACTGTTCTGTTTATTTTAACAAAATAAAATTATACATTTCTCTTGGTTTTTGGTTTAAAACATATGATTAGTTTAATTAAAACGTGTTTTAAATTGCTAATCGATTAAAGAAATCATATATTCGAGTACACATCAAAAATCAATAATTGCGTCTGATACAAAGTAGTTTTAATTGGTTTAAAAAAAAAATGTTTTTTTTTGCAACATAATTGTCAATTTATTCGCAATCCCAAAACAACTCGTAATTGGAGGCCGTGCTTTTTGCCGACACTGGCACTCATCAGTAATTGCAGTGGATTTTATGAATGTATTAACGGAACTAAACAAGGTATCATCAAAGGAAAACGAATATAATAAAAACCGGTACTGAAAAGGTATTGTATTTTCTGATCCGATCGAACAACAAACCGATGCTACCAAAAATCAACAATTTTAACAGAGAAATAACAAATCCATTAATGTTTAAAATAAATAATCCTTGTTGCTTTTTTTCCAACTTCAATCTAGGTTGTTTGCTCAGCGCGCTGTTTTCTTTCCTACTTTTTCCCAAAAGTTCAATGCAGCAGAAAAGCAACAATATCCTAAAAGCTTTTTCTCCACCATTGTTTCCATATAGTTTCTACTCTACTCTCTTTTTTTTATATAAACACTTTATATATTTTTTCTACCTTTTTCTATTCAGGTAATAAATTTCGCTTTTTCTCCTCTTTTCTTGTAAAATTGTGTAAACTAAATCCGACGGTGCGTAAAAAACTATAAGCGATATGAAATCCCGAAATTTTCGGGCCGCAAAACCGTTACTTTATTTCCGCTCGGGTATTACAAAAAAAAGGAAAAACTAGGGGAATAATCCCCCATTTTTACGGAAATGACGGAAAGAGCAAAAAAATGCGTTTCGTATTTTATTTCATTTCTTTAATAGAAAAAAAATATGTGTCCATGCGGATGTGTTCATTTTCTCCCTTTTCGTAGTAAAACGCAACCCTTCAATTAAATTGCGCTGTTGCAGTGGGTTTTGGTGTGTGTGTTATTTTTTTTATTCTCTTGCCTGTTTGGTAAATGGGGTGGATTTTGGGCACACGCCGAACCCTCGCCGCGCTTAATTAATTCTCGCTCACGAAAATGAGCTTTTTTCTGTTTCCTTGTTAGAGCGGAGAGAGGGTTAACGTATGCGTGGATTACAATTAGTTCTGGATTAAACAGACACAATTGTCCAAGAAAGGAAGTCACAGATTTGTTGGCTTTTGTGTACAAATCTCACAAATTCATTAATTATAAACACTTGATAGTTCTTGGATTTGCTAAAGTAACTATTATATTAACTAAAGTTGTACATAAGTCATATTTTACTTTATTTAAGGAATAATTATAAAAGTAACTTTAGATGTTAAGATTGTTGAAGACAAACTTTTGTAAGAAACCTTGCGAAGTCACCAATGTTTTGTATTTACAATAATTTATTAATAATGCTTTGAGCTAATATCTGATAATGTGGAGAAGACAATGGGGGAACGAAGGGATGTTATAAAAAAAAATTGAACAGATTGAATGAGAGAAAAAAAAGGTTCCGACCCTCAGGATGTAGGAAACGTCTTTTCTATGCGGAGACGGCCAATATATGTATAATAAATATTCCTTCGTCGCCCAACAGTTATCCGATGATGCAACCATAAATTAAAAGACAAGTCGCAATATTCACCTATAACCTGAAGGGTATTATTAAAAAGGAGGTATATAGCATACATGCATTGCAGAGGGATAAGAGTTAAGGTATTTTATACGAGGGGGAACCAGAGGCCAGATGTTCAGCTGCCTATAGTTCCCTCCTCTTCTATCCGCCGTTTATCCTTGCGGTGAAGAAAGAGACGGAAGGTCACCACACGTCTGGCAGACCGCCACGTTCCCTGACACGCGACAGAGCCGACGGATTTGCACAACAATTGTTTGGATTTTCTATTCTGTATAACTGCCAGAGCCTCTTTTGTCGGGCTCAAAAATTCCGGCTAACAAATACACACATACAATACACACATACAGACATCCACATTCATATATATTTACAGATATATGTGTAAGCCCTAAACTAGTATAAGTTGAGTTAACAAAGAAAAAAAGAAACAATAATTAGTTAAATAAATAAATCACAATTTATTGAAATACTATGATCAAAGTTTTTTAAACTTAAACTTTCAATAATTATTTTCAAAACAAAGTTCATTATCTATTTTTACAAGTGTGTTACAATCAAACTTTAATTGTGTGCTGGTATTAATTAATCAATGTAAGGTAAGATTTGTGCAACTGCACAAATGTGTGTTACTAATGCTTATCGTATGTCGTTAATCTTAATCAATTTATGGTTATTGTGTATTTTTTTCGCACAAAGACTGAATCCATTAAGAGAAAACCATTAACTTTCCGGTTACAGGAACTTCGCATTATCTGTTTTTTTTTGTACCTTACCTCACTTGATGCAAAATTTATAATGA